AAAACTAAAAAATTGATTACAAAAAAGAAAATTGAAAAATAAGTGAAAATCATTTTGTTAGGCCTTAATTAAAGACTATAATTTGTAGTCATCTTATAACTAAGTAATTGTGTACACACTACATACATATGTACCAGCATATGATATTTCATTGTTCATAGGGCTCTACTTTAATATTAAATTTAATTTAAATAAATATTTATTTTCTTTGGTACTATTCATGGTTTTGTTTCGTATGCAAGTTTCACCACAACTAATATACCAGAGTACATCTGTGTGGCACCTTCACGAGCACAATTCGTATAGCTGGCCGTCGCCCTTACAGCAATTGACATGCATTCGAATGCACTCTATGTCGCCCATTAGAGTGATTATAGCCTGCACAACACTGATGACCCGATGTACGCGCGTGACTGAAACTATGACTGTTGGCCATTTTAGGTTGGTGACCATGATGACAAGTAGCGTAGTGCACAGACGAATAGCTGTGATTGTGACTGTAAAAAAGATTGAGAAAATAAATTATACATTTACTTATTTCAGGTAAGCATCATTTTCGGATTACTCACCCATGATGTGCTATGCCCGAATCTGATAAGGAGTTTGTCATTTGTGGACCTGGTGGTGGTGGTGGCAAAAATAGCGGACAACCACCACCGCCCTCATCGCCACCACCTTCATCCCGAAAGGCAGCCATCCGTCGCATATTTGCACGCTTGTTTTGCACATCAACTTCGCTCGCTTCTTCAATCATTCTGTCCAACTTTTCTATCGCTTTTGTTTGTTTTGCAGCGAGGAATGCTTTACGTGCTGACTTGGACATTGGTAGCGGTGCGGAATTGGAGCGAATCGGTGGCGAACAGGGCGATAACGATTCATGTGATGACGTACGACTGCTGTCGAATGATATATTCTTACTTGCTGGTATAGGTTTCGTAACGGATGTAGTGGGAATCGCAACTGCCGTACCCTTCGGTATCGCTGGCACTGAGGTGGAGGCTGCAGCGGCTTCCGGAACGCTGGTTGACTGTGCCGTCTCTGGTTGCGCGGTTGGTGGTGTGACAACTGGCTCTTGCGGCACGGTTAGGCTACGTGAGAAGGTGATTTTTCTAATTAGAAAGAGAAATTATTCAGAAGTGGAAGAGAAAGGGTGATTAAGAAAGAAGAGTTTTCACAAATATTTATGTGGACTTAAACGGCTAAAAAATGTGTTACTTTTTAATTTAATATTTATTGATGAACAGTTGGAGAGTAAAGTTTTTATATGATTAACTAACATGCCAAGACCGGTATATAGAGGAAGATATAGAGAGTGTGTTTTTGAATTTTTTTTGTGGAATTAGGAAGAACTGCAGTTCTTTTTAACGCCGATGATGTTAGCCACAATTAAAATCATATTTCATTTCTAATACCTCTACGATAAACTCGTGACGATCTCCGCATAAAATTCGCTTTGAAAATCCGTAGAATTCCCGAAATAGAGTAGCTTGTAACTAATTTCTCTCTCTCAAGTACGCTTGACATGCTCGCAATGCGCCGACACCTACCTGGCTTTGGATTTCTCCAGCGACGCTGATGCTGACGATGTCGATGGTGCCACTTTGCAGGTGAGAGTTTCACGAGGTGGTGCTGTCGATGGTGGTGTAATCTGTTCCATTGCTGCCAGCTCTTCGGGAGTAAATTGATCGGGATCATTTGGACGTGGCTTTGACGGTGCGCTGCCAATGCGGAAGGTAGGCGCAGGGCTGTAGGGGCAAAGCGCTGAGCTGGTTGCACTATTAACCAATGAACTTCGTGAGTATTGTAAGTCTTCCAAAAATTCTTCTGTATCTAAAACGAGGGAACCGAAAATGTCGCTAGGCGAACGCATGAAAACGTGCCCCATCGAGTTTGAACGCGATTCACGACCACGCTCATTATTGTTAAAAGCATTGCGCACCGGTGAATTTGCTATGCTGCGACGTGCAACATCTGTGAAAGTTACCGGCGAGTACATACGTCCACGTTCCTTGCTGGCACTAGTCTGTGGCGTTGTTGATGTACTCGTCGCCGGATCCATTGAGTTTATCATAGCGCTTGTGGCATTGGCTAACTGCATGCGTTCAACTGAACCTATAACCGGTTGAGCAGCCGCTGGCATAATCGCCTTCAGCGTCTGTGACACACTCAGGCGACGATCGGATGTAGATGGCGCTGTAGATGGTATAGAGCTAGTTGTAGCGGTAGCAGTCGGCGCAGTGAACGTCGAAATCGGGTGAAATAGTTCGGGCGGCAACTGTAATGATTTACGATTTTCACGTTCCTCCAGCCAGTAGGTTTTCATGGGACCCTTACCCTTCACATCGATCTCACCACGCTCAGTCATTTTGTAGCAAGGACTTAGAAATTGCTTGGCTGGTTCGGAAACGTGCACCTTCATGGCGGCGCCCGTGGATTCCATGCGTGACGCCGTATTAACCGAATCTCCAAAGAGACAATATCGTGGCATTTTCAAACCCACAATACCAGCAACAACTGCGCCGGAATGCACGCCAACACGTATGCGCAAATGTTGGCCTGTCGAGGGATCTTTCAGATCCGTTATGGCATCAACCATATCTAAGGCCATATCACAAACTTTATCCGCATGATTTGCAGACTTTTCTGGCGCACCTGACACAACCATGTAGGCATCGCCAATTGTTTCAACTTTATATACATTATTTCTTTCGGTGAGTGTGTCGAATATGGAGTACATTGCATTTAGCATGGACACCACCTCCATGGGTGTGATGCGACTGCAGATTTCGGTAAATGTGACCACATCAGCAAAAAGTATGGACACGCAGTCGAACATCTGCAAAATGCAAAAAAAAAAACGAACGGGAGGGATTGAAAGAAGTAAGGCAGAGCTTAATTATTTCAAAATATTTTCGAAAGAAAACTTTATTAGACCTCTTGCGATTGATATACATCTTGTAATACATACTAAAAGAAAAAACGAATTTGACAGGTGGCAGCGCTCTTTAAAATCAAGCTTTTCTGAACCATATTCGTTGGCAATCCGTATTGCAATAATTCATTTAACTGATTAATAAAATTGTATTTAACTATATAAATAGGTGGCAATCCCCTTTAAAATAGTTTCGTAATAAAGTGTTGTTTTTAATCTCGTTCTTCTGGCATCCTTATTGCAAAGTATCGCTGAACTTATAATTTAGCATTTTAAGCAGGTGGTAATCCTTTTGAAAAATATGATGTATACTAATCCAGGTCATAAGCTATTTTTTTTGCCAAATTTTAAACGAAGAAAGAGTAGCAAACACATTTATAACGTTAGTAGAATTTTATCTAACTTGTCAATTAAATTCATTTTAAATGCCTAAGCCCGAAAAAATATATTCGAAACAGCTTTCCTTAAACCTCTCTCGTTTAGTACCCATATTAAAATATTTTAGTTAACTTGTGCCTTTAATTTATTTTGTATTTCTAAGCAGGTGGCAGCCTTCTTTAAAATATTTTGGAATAAAAAATTTCCTAAACTTCTATTGTTTGATACCCTAATTAAAATATTTTGTTTAGCTTGCTATTTAAATTCATTATTATTCCTCGAACAGGTGGCAACCCTATTCAAAATAATTAGAAATTAAGCTCTCTCCTCAGACACCCGTATAAAAATATTTCATATAACTGGTAAACGAAATTGATTTTGAAATTCTGAACTGGTGGCAACCCCAGTAATAAATATTTCAGGAATAGATCCAGCTTTCCTTAAATTTCTCTCGTTTGATACCCATATTAAAATATTTTATTTAACTTGTTACGTAAATTGGTTTTAGATTTTAAAACAGGTGGCAACCCCTTTAAAAATATTTTTGAAATGAAGATTTCTTAAACCTCTCTTGTTTGATATCCATATTAAAATATTTCGCTTTACTTGTTATTTAAACTCATTTAAAATTCTTGAACAGGTGGCAACCATCTTAGAGAATTTTTCAAAATAAACAGGCTGAATAGGCCTCTTAGTAGGATTAATATTAATTCGTATCTCTAAATCATTTACCTCACATGTATCAATAGGATTTTCGCCACGTCTCAGCCGATCAGCCACTTGCTTCGGTATCATCTGATAGAGCAACTCATCTGTACGTCTCATTTCTTCGTCCAGCTTACGCATAGACTCTTCTAGCTTCTTCGACTTTTGTTGTTCTTGATCGAGCGCTAATTTGAGTTCGACGGATTGCTGTGTACCGGCCAACATGAGATCTCTGAAGAGTAGTAATATTTAACGGGTGTTAAATTCGATATCTATATAAGACATGTAAAGATCGCTTTTTATAGTTACCTGCTAAAGTCATGCATTGACAAATCATTGATATACAACCCGGTTGTTATGAGTGAATTGAGATCAGGCATAACCGGCGTGCCCAGGAACATGATCATACGCCAATTTTCCATGTAAACCATTTGACCTGAATAAAAAAAAAAAAA